TTGGCACAAAAACACATCTGAAGACCTCAGGAACTGAATGGAAATCCCAGAAATGATCCCACACATCTACAGTCAACTAGTTTTTTTTTTTTTTGACATTTTATTTACTTTTGATAATATCTACATGGCTGATCAGGGTGAGACCACTGTCTCCAAATACTCCCCCTCCCCGCATCCTCTTGTATCTGGGAAAGGGGGAAAATCAGGTGAAAAGCTTCACCAAGTCTCCCTGCCACCTGAGTACCAGGGGATAGGGAACAGCCACCTGATGCCATCACAAGGTCTCTGATGTGGTGTTTGCTACTAATTCTTGAGAAGCAAGCAAAAATCAATCCAGAGAGAGAAAACAGTCCCTTCAACAATTGGGCTGGAAAATTTTGACTTACACATGTACAGAAATGAAACAAGACCCTATCTTCCATGGTACAGAAAAAGCACATCTAAATGGATCAACGATCTAGATCTATGACCTGATACCATCAAATTATTAGAGGAAAATATCAGGACACTCTGTAAGACATAGGAATAGGCAGGCTTCTTGGAAAGAACCCCAGAAGCAGCAGGAATCAAAACAAAAAATAAACAAATGGCATTACACCAAGCTAAAAAAAACTGCTCTGCAAAGGAAACCTCCAATAAAGTCAAGAGGCAGCCTGTTGGATAGCATTCTGTTGGCAGAAGCACTCTGATGAATGTGAGAAAGTATTTGCAAGCTTTGCAATTGATAGAGAAATAATGTTCAGCATCTATAATGAGTGCAAGAAGCTCAACAACAGTTAAGAAATGGGCATGTCTCAAAGGATGAAATTCAAACGTCCAACACACATATGAAAAAATGCTCAGATTCACTAGCCCTCAGGGAAATGCAAATAAAAACATAGTGAGATTTCACCTCATCCCAAAAGGGAAAAAAAAAAATGGGGATTGACATGTGGTGTAGGATGTTAATAATCTGCCTTGGTGTTGGCATGCAATATGGGTGCCACTTCAAAGCCTGGTTATTCTACTTCCAATCCAAGCCCCTGCTAATAGCCTGAGAAAGCAGCAGAAGATGGCCTAAGGTCTTGGGCTCCTGTTCCTACATGGGAGACCTGGAAGAAGGTCCTGGCTCCTAGTTTTGGATCAGTTCAGCCCTGCCAGTAGAATCATTTGGGGAATGAAAGAGCAGATGGAAGATCTGTCTATGCCTCTATGTAAATTTTGAGTTTCAAGTAAAAAAAAATAACTAATCCTTTAAAAAAACACAATGAATGCTGGAGAGGATGTGGGGAAACCATTCTCTATTCCACTGTTGGTGGAAATTTAAACTAGTGCAACCACTGTGGAAAACAGAATGGAGATTCCTCAGAAATTTGAAAATACTTTACCATATGACACAGCCATCCCACTCCTGGAAATGTTTATAAATGAAATGAAATCAGTATGTGAGAGTTTTCTGTATCCTCATGTGTACAGCAGCTCAATTCATAATAGCTAAGACAGGGAATCAATGCAGATGCCCTTTAACAGATAAGAAAAGGTGATACATATACATTACGGATACACCAAGACACAAAGAATGAAATCTTGTCTTTTGCAGCTAAGTGATGCAACTATAAATCAATACACTTGGTGAAATTAGCTAGTCCCAGTAAGAAAAACCTCATGTTTTCTCTCCTCTCTGATAACTAATACAGAGCTCAAAAATGCGATCCAGAGCAGTGTGAGAGTGACATTCTGGTTTTTGATTACCATGTACAGCTTTTGTTTATGCACCCAAGGAATAGGTTTTGTTTTGATTTTTTGTTCTTTGTTATTATTATAGTCTAATTACCAAATGTTGATATGTTTACCTAATGGAGTGTTAAACTTGTAACTGATGAAAATCAAAGTAAGTTATTGTAAAAACTAGAACAAGACTAAATAAGAAAGCAGGAGAGTGGGTGGGGAATGCGGCTAGGAAAGGATTAGGATGGGAAGTACCAGTAAGATCTTAAATCTGTATTACAACAGATATATGTGTAACTTGTTCACCTCATATAAAGCTTACGAAATCAAGTTAGGATCAGCTTGTACTCATAACAGCACACTCTTTATGCAGCATGGTCTACAGAAGGGGAGGGATCAAAGTGTACAAGGGGAGTATAGTTGCACTATTTTATTAGATTAGTCCACATGAGAATGACAGTGCCTTGCTGTCTCTTGAATAAGACAAAGCAAACTGACATAAAAGCAAAGTGACAAAAAAACTGTTTGCTCTGGTTCCTGGGCCTAACACCTACCACCTAAAAACAAGGAAGCCAAGAAAAATTACATTACACAGGATCACAACTACACTAAAAACAAACAAACAAAAAAACCCTGGCTATTTACAAACATCAGAAATTATATCTTAGTACTTGTAGTACCTGGGATTCTCCAGGTAGAAAAAAAATCATACCCTTGGTAACTGACCCAGGGGAAGCCCTGTTAACCTTACTTAGCGAGCTTTGAGTGCAACAGTGAACTAGATAACTTGATCTTTGTCCCACAGATTTACACAGGTTAGAGTATTATTTAGGGCCTACACAATTAAAAAAAAAGAGAAAAATATATATGTGAATTTCTCCATTGTCACTCTGAAGTGGTTAGCTCTAATTACCTTTCTAAGGCCACAGTCCACCTGAAACTTACTATTAAACTTATTATTAAACTTTCTCAAGCACTCACAGAAAAGAGAAAATAAAGGGGGGAAATGGAAATATATCACTCCTTGAGGAAGTATTTAATATCGCAAATATCAAACTGGCAACCAAATGGGATGCAAGAATTGCAGGTCACTGCAGGCCACTGCAGGCCATGATAAAATCTTAACTGCTACACTACAAGCTTGGCCCATTTAAATTTTTTATGTGACTATAACTCTTTAATTAGTTTATGAACTTTGTTTTTAAAAGATTTATTTTATTTTTATTGGAAAGGTGGATGGATATAGAGGAGAGACAGAGAGGAAGATCTTCCGTCCGATGAGTCACTCCCCAAGTGAGCACAGAGGCCGATGCTATGCCGATCAAAGCCAGGAGCCTCTTCCGGGTCTCCCACGCGGGTGCAGGGTCCCAAAACCTTGGGCCATCCTGGACTGCTTTCCCAGGCCACAAGCAGGGAGCTGGATGGGAAGCAGGGCTGCTGGGATTAGAACTGGCACCCATATGGGATCCCGGGCATGCAAGGCAAGGACCTTAACCACTGCGCCATCACACCGGGCCCCTAGATTATGAACTTAAGAATAAAGTAACCGAGGAAACAGGACTATTACCTTATTCTTCATTTGTACCTGTATAATCTTGCAAAACAGTAAGTTTTAAATTGTTAGCCACGCACCAATTATTCTCATTATTATCAAATGCACATTTTTAAAGTGGGCATAGGAGAAGATATGATGTTTGACTAGAACATCTTAGCATATGCAATGAGTCAAGGCCATCAAGCTAAAACACCAACAAGAGGTTTAGGCGACGACATTTCAGGCTAGACAGGGAAGAAATAAAAAGTAGTAGAGCACTCCTCTCTGTAGCTCCCCACAAAATTTTTTCATATGAACATAATACTAGGGGACCACATCATACCAATGATTCCTAAACAGGTGTGCTATGAAAAAACAAAACTAGGAAATATTAAATATTACAAGTTTATTTATAGAAGTCCACTGTGTGAAATTCCCAAGCAGGATTGAGAAGAGTTAATGTTGACCTAAAGTATCATTAATACATAAATATATACTTCCCATCCACCTCCCTGCCTATGGCCTGGGAAAGCAGCAGAGGATAGGCCCAAAGCCTTGGGACCCTGCACCCACATGGGAGACTTGGAAGAAACTCCTGGCTTTGGATTGGCTCAGCTCCGGCCATTGTGATTATTTGGGGAGTAACCTGTGGATGGAAGGTCTTTCTGTCTCTTCTTCTGTCTGTAAATCTGCCTTTCCAATAAAAATAAATCAATCTTAAAACAGTGTTTCATGAATTAGCTTGGCATGCTAGGCTTACAAGATATTCCACGATACTTGGAAGGATATTTAGGAAAGTATCCCTGTGGAAAAGTATTGTGAGCCGAATCATATCACCTCCTCATCTTCAACCTTTTTTTTTTTATCCTTCTTAATTCTTTTATACATCTGGTTGTACACCATTCCTGAAACTTAGAAACACAGAGGGAAATCTAAGAAGAATCTAGAGAAGCTCACTCATCCAAAGCTCATTTTGCTGTCAAAGACAATTTCTACCATACTCAGAACCAAATTTCTCCATTCATGGCTACACTTAAGATTCAGTCTCCAAAGAGTAAAAGCTGCAACTTCCCACAGTGAAAAACCTAACAAAGTTATGTGCAATTTTCACTGTTCTGCCCAAGTATTTATATTACATATTATTTCTTTTTAAAACAAGATGAGGATATAACACAAAATCTTAATGAAAATATAAATTTCACAAGGATGTACTGTTTTGCATGTCTGAATGAATCCAAATGCCATAAAAATTTTAGTATACAATCACCATAGGATTGAAAAAAAATTTTTTTTAATTTATTTGGAAAGCAGAGACAGCTGAATAGCAGCAAAGGAGTGGAGAAGAGAAAGAGGGACAGAAAGGAAAAGAAGATATACAGAGAGCTTCCAACCAACGGTTCATTCCCCAAATGCTTGCAGCTGTCTGGACTGAGCCAGGCAAAACTAGGAGGCCAGAACCCAATCTAGGCCTCCAACATGAGTGGCATACTGGAGCCTTCACACACTGCCTCCCAAGGTTCACATCAGCAGGAAGCTGCAATTAGTAATGGAGCTGGGACCCAAACTCAGGCTCCCCACTATGGGATGCAGGCATGCCAAGCTGTGGCTTAACTGGTGCACCAAACAACCACCCCACTATAAAACTGTTTATCATAACCAGAAGTTTATATAAACGTACTAGGGTAAAAACAGTATTAACTTGCTTTTCAACCACTGACAAAAAATGTTGCATATTATTGGCATGAAAATTAAAATTTACCTCTTTCACTGGCATCATCTACTAGAACAATTTCTTCTATCATGTGTCTTGGTGAGCGATTAATGACACTATGAACAGTTCGTAGAAGTGTGCTCCAAGCCTCATTGTGGAAAACAATCACCACACTTGTTGTAGGAAGATTATCTGGATACACTTTTGTTTTACACCTAGAGACAAAGCAAATGCCTTTATAAAAAGTGACTGTTAAGACAGCATAATAAATGAATCTGGAGTAGAAGGGATAACAGAACAATGAAAACAGTCTGCTTCAGTGGTAGGCTGCTGATTATTTTAAATTGAAGTTTTGGTTAATACTGCATGTTTAATAAGCAAAACCCAATTAAAGTTATATATTTAAATTGGAATTAAAGATTTCACTTTAAAAAAGATTTATTTATTCAAAAGGCAGAGTTAGAGGGACAGTGACAGGTAAATCTTTCATCTACAGGTCTACATGCAAAATGGCTACAATGGGTGGGGTTTGGGTCAGGATCAAACCAGGAACTTCTTCCCAATCTCCCTCATGGGTGCAGTGGCTCAAGGACTGGGACACTCCCTGCCCCTTTCCCAGGCACATTAGCAGGGAGCTGGATTGGAAGCAATGTTCATTTAGAATGCTGATGTCACAGGTGGCAGTTTTACCCAAAATGCCATGGCATTGACATCACTTAGCGGTTTTAAAGTTAGGTACCTTTTCCTGATGTTCCGGTTGATTCATTTTAAGGAAGAATGAACTAAGGTTGTGTTATCACAGAGTGAATGTTTAAAGAACCCAGTAAAACAAAAAATAAGAATCAACAGAGTTTAGAGTTGAATGAATAAATAAAAATATTACAATCATGAGGAGAGATAATACTTATGCAGTTCTTACTACATCACTCTGTAAAGATACTTGAAGCCACATTTCACAGATGAGAAACAGAACAGATTTGGAAGAAGTAGTAATGCCTGGCTGAAGACTCCACAGCCTGCTCTTTGCTAATCACACTCTGGATGTTGCCACCTCCATAATTAAATGTCAACATTCATTTGGTTTAGTACAGAGTATTTTTGCATGAAAATGACAATCATCACAAAGGCCAAAAATATCCAAAATATACACACATAAAATTTGCAACAACATGATCTTCCAATTTTGTTAGCCAGATTCAGCTAGTAGGTAACATAGCTATTGGAGATCCAGTAAGAACAGTAAAGCTACTGAGAGGTGCCCCGCAGAGTGCACATAAAGCCCCCTCTTAGTATCCCCAGCTGTAGAAGCCGCACCAGCCTTCTGTTCCCCTTTTCCCTGTTCTCTTCCAAACTCTTCAAACCTTGCACTCTGTTGTTTCCTCTGTTATGACTTGACAACAGAAACGGAGAAAGGGAAGAAGAGGTGGGGGCAGAGGGAATGAGGAAAACACCAATAAGAAGCTACTACAACCCTATGTTACTTACTGACCACTGCTGAGAAAAGGCAAAAGGAAGGGAAATAAAGATGACAAGGTAAAGGGTTTGACAAGAGAAATGAAAAAGAGGTCACTTACTGCTGGGACGCCAGCAGCCCTCAACTTTCTCTCAGGACAGAAGATACAAAGTAGTTTCCAGTGTCCTTCACTGCATCCCATTTCTGCTGCTCCTACTTTCTCCACCAAAACCCTTTATCACAGAGGGTTTGCACAGGGCTTTCATCTCCTACAACCACTTATCCATCTCAGTGTTCATTCTCCTGTGCCCTGCTTTCACTCCAAGATCTAGCACAAAGTTCACATAACCTGCCAAACTTCCTGTATCTCTTTTACTTCAAGTTTGGGCTAAAGAGGCAGAGTCGGAAAGACAAACTGCTAACACTTTGGGGACAGAAACTGAATTCTTACACTATTCCTGTTGTAAATAATGGCTACATTCATATATTTGCATTATTTTTTAAGTACATTAGAGGTGTGTAAGCCAAGATACTTGATGTCTTTATGGGAGAATGGATCCTAAATGCCTAACCCAAACTAGTTAAACATGACTAGGAAATCAGTATATGAATAAAGAAGTTATGGCTTTATATATACCTCTTTCCCCGAATTAGTCCTACTTATTATTTTTTTTAAATGCTTATTTCTTTTCAGCTACTTGAAAGGCAGAGTGACATACAAACACAGAGATCTTCTATCCACAAGTATTATCAACCAGTATATTTCCTAAATGATTGCAACAGCCAGGTCTGTGCAAGGTCAAAGAAAGGAACCCTGAACTTCAAAAATGAAGTCTCTTATGTGGGCCACAGAGGCCTAAGTACTTGGGTCATCCTCTGCTACCTCATACCAGCATACCAGCATACATTACCAAGAAGCTGGAAATGCTGGCACTGAGAGGGGATGGGATGCAGAGCTCCCAAGCAGCAGCCCAACCACAGTGCTAGGATGCTTGCCTGAATCATGTTTATTATTATAGAAGAACTGAGAGGCAGAAAACAGATACTGTGTCTAAAACAACTAAAAGAGAAAAAAACAAATGAGACACACAAGATTATCAGGTAACATATACAATGCACAAAAGTATTGTCTTACTAGCAGGCAAACACAGGAAGGAATCTGAAAAATAGTATGTTTTTCTGAAGACAGCATGTTCAGAAGAGGAGTGATAAACCAGACTTAATCCTTGCATGTTAAAGAATTAAATTTCTGAAACTTAAATTCTAAGAGTAACACTGTAAGAACACTAGATGAAAGAATCAGACACAAAAGTAGCATCCAGGAGACTAGATGATAAAGAAAATTATTTCCCAAATCAAGCAATTAAATTTAATTACACAGAGACCCTAACACATTCAGAAAAAACAATATTCTCAAAGTAACTAAGAAAATATGGAGCAAAAATAACAAAGGCACACACGCACACGCATAGGTTCACACATCTTGGGGTATTCTGAGTAAGTTTTTCCCATGGAGAAACCACGGGTCCCCAAGTGTGCATGGGTACCTGTGCACAGATGGAGGAGTGCTACCCAGAGGACTCAGGCTGAGCAGCAAGGCCAGACGATGGTCTGTGTCACAAAGCATGACTCCCCCGCTCTCTCTGCACTGAAGAGTCAGCACCAGACGAGGAAACACTTACCAACAGCCTAAAAGCCACCACTCTACTGGATTTTGAGTATTACAGGTAGGTTGTCTACTCTGGGAACTTATACATGTTTAGGAATTGAGAATTTCCATAGATTTTTGTGTGTTTATATTTACCATGCTATAAACTAAAATAGGAATTATAAAAATGCACCAAAACCCCAAAAGCATATTACATTAGCTGCTAGAGATGACTCATCACTGTCATATAGTGTGCTTATTACTAATTCATTGCCATTTAGCTCCAGATAAACCTTTCATAAGCTGATCTGTGATAAGAGAATTGGCTTTAAGCATTTTCCCTTTTCAGCTGGCACCACACATACATAAATACACCTTGTCAGTAGCAGGTGTTGTAGGGACACTGGAGGGAACATTTCCTTTTCTGCTTCTCATGTGCATCCACTTGTTTTTCTCCCTTCTACTAGATGATTGACAATGAAGTTTGGTAGATATGGAAGCATTAACCCACACAGCACCAGCAGAGATAGATTCCCAGTGTGTCTTCCAACTACCCCAGCAGGCAGCTTAGAAAGTCTGACTGCTGCAACAGTGAGTCCTATTTGCCTGTTCTGGCTATGCTCTCCTGCCCTAATACATTCCAAAGTGTACTTTCCATTTATTAGGCTACCTACCAGTCCTCACTACAGAGGGTACTATTCAAAAGGTATGACCGGGCCTGGCACAGTAGTCTAGTGACTTAAGTCCTTGTTTGGCATGCACTAGTTCGTGTCCTGGCTGCTCTACTTCCCATCCAGCTCCCTGCTCATGCCCTGGGAAAGCAGTCAAGGACAGGCCAAAGTCTTGGGACCTTGTACCCAAGTGGGAGACCCAGAAACTGCTTCTGGTTTCAGATCAGCTCAGCTCCAGTCGTTGCAGCCACTTGGGGAGTGAATCAGCAATGGAAGATCTTTCTCTCTTCTTTCTCCCCTTCTCTCTGTATAGCTGCCATTCCCCTCCCTCCGCCCCAAATAAGCCTTAAAAGGAAAAAAAAATATAAACCTATGGACAGGGTACCCAGCAAACTTACCAGGTGACCTTCTCCAATGAGGTCTAAATCCTAGCCTTAGGGAGGGGGCTCCCTGCCAAAATATATCCTTCCCAATATTCTTTCCCTTGGCCTAGAACATGGTTTATGTAATTGTCTTCATCCTTTTTATAACTCATCCCATTTTAGTTAATCCTTCATACTACAGTTTCTCTGTTCAAATTATTACGTGATTTCTACCTCCTGCATGAACAAAAATCCACATAGCCTCTCAGGTACAAATGTTAGTTGAAGACCTAAAGCAAAGAGAGTAGATGATGTATTGGTGTAATAAGTGTTCTGACCTTGCAGACTCCTTGAAAATGCCTGAGCAATCCTCCAAAGTCCCCGACTATCTAGAGAACTACTGACAGACTCTTCCTTTGTCTTAATACTTTTACTTTATATTTTGTTTGTGCATATCCTGTCATATACAAAAGATTATTTTACTGCTTCATAGTATTTCATTCTATGTCTCTCCTTTCCCTGGCTTACCACTGAAGGACATTAGCACTGTGCAGTCTGTAAGACTAGTGCTGTGATCATATTCACTTTGGTAAATTATCATTTATAAGTCACCACTCACACTGGTGACTGTATGTACACATTTCTGTACTGTTGGACAACAGGGAATATATAAACAGTTTCAGCAGGAATTGTTTTCTTTTCTTTCTTTTAAAGATTTATTTATTTATTGGAAAGTCAGATATACAGAGAGGAGGAGAGACAGAGAGCAAGATCTTCCATCCGATGATTCACTCACTCCCCAAGTGAGCACAACGGCCGGTGCTATGCCGATCTGAAGTCAGGGTATCCCACATGGATGCAGGGTCCCAAAGCCCTGGGTCGTCCTCGACTGCTTTCCCAGGCCACAAGCAGGGAGCTGGATGGGAAGTGGAGCTGCTGGGATTAGAACCGGCGCCCATATGGGATCCCGGGGTGTTCAAGGCGAGGACTTTAGCTACTAGGCCACGCCGCCAGGCCCCAGAATTGTTTTCTATAACAAGTAATACTTTATAACTACTCTATATATTCAAAAAGAACTGGC